TTTCTTATGATTCCCTGCACCCTGCCAAAGGTTTGGTCACGAGTCTTTGCTTTGAAAACACCGCTAGTTAGAGTCTTTCCAATGCGCTCAGTAGACTCCTGTCAATGTTCAATGCGTATCCCATCTGTCTTTCAAAATGAGGATTGATAATCTTACCCCATGTCCGCTCTCTTGATTATCTTTTTTAGGTGTATAGATTTCATTATGTTTATTATATCTTATAGGTCTATATAAGTGAGTATATACCATGTTTGTCTTTCTCCTTCTGGGATATTTCACTCAAGATGATCTTTTCTAGATTCCACCATTTGCCTGCAAATTTCATGATTTCCTCCTTTTTGATTGCTGAGTAGTATTCCATTGTGTAAAAATACCACAATTTCTGTACCCATTCCTCCGTTGATGGACATCTAAGTTGTTTCCAGGTTCTGGCTATTACAAATAAAGCTGCTATAAACATGGTTGAGCAAATATCCCTTTTGTGTACTTGAGCAAACTTGGGGTATATCCCTAGCAGTGGTATAGCTGGGTCTTGAGCAAGCACTATTCCTAATTGTCTTAGGAAGTGCCAGATAGATTTCCAGAGTGGTTGTACCAGTTTACATTCCCACCAGCAGTGGAGGAGGGTTCCCCTTTCTCCACAACCTCTCCAGCATGTGTTGTCCCTTGAGTTTTTCATCTTGGCCATTCTGATGGGTGTAAGGTGATATCTCAGGGTCGTTTTGATTTGCATTTCCCTGATGGCTAATGAGGATGAGCATTTCTTTAAGTGTTTCTCTGCCATTCGATATTCCTCTGTCGAGAATTCTCTGTCTAGCTCTGTTCCCCATTTTTTAATTGGATTACTTGGTTTGCTGCTTTTCAGCTTCTTTAGTTCTTTGTATATACTCAATATTAGTCCTCTGTCAGATAAAGGGTTAGTGAAGATTCTTTCCCAATCTGTAGGCAGGCGTTTTGTTTTGATGACAGTGTCCTTTGCTTTACAGAAGCTTTTCAGTTTCATGAGGTCCCATTTATTGATTGTTGCTCTTAGAGCCTGTGCTGTTGGTGTTCTGTTCAGGAAGTTGTCTCCTGTGCCAATGAGTTCTAGGCTGTTCCCCACTTTTTCTTCTAACAGATTTAGAGTATCTGGTTTTATGTTGAGGTCTTTGATCCACTTGGACTTTAGTTTTGTGCAGGGTGATAAATATAGATCTATTTTCATTTTTCTGCATGTGGACATCCAGTTGGACCAGCACCATTTGTTGAAGATGCTGTCTTTTTTCCATTGAATGGTTTTGGCTTCTTTGTCAAATATCGAGTATTCATAGGTGTGTGGGTTTATTTCTGGATCTTCTATGCGGTTCTATTGATCCCATCTCCTTAGATGCTGAAAAAGCATTTGACAAAGTCCAACACCCATTCATGTTTAAAGTCTTGGAGAGATCAGGAATACAAGGCACATATCTAAACATAGTAAAGGCAATATACAGCAAGCCTATAGCCAACATCAAACTCAATGGAGAGAAACTTAAATCAATCCCACTGAAATCAGGGACAAGACAAGGCTGCCCACTCTCTCCCTACCTCTTCAACATAGTGCTTGAAGTCCTAGCCAGAGCAATAAGACAACTAAAGGAGATCAAGGGGATACAAATCGGAAAGGAAGAGGTCAAAGTGTCACTATTCGCAGATGATATGATAGTATATATGAGCGATCCCCAAAATTCAACCAGAGAACTCCTCCAGTTGATAAACACCTTCAGCAAAGTGGCAGGATACAAAATCAACTCAAAAAAATCAGAAGCCCTCCTGTATACCAAAGACAAAAGGGCCGAGAAAGAAATTAGGGATACAACACGCTTCACAATAGCCACTAACCACATAAAGTACCTTGGGGTGACACTAACCAAGCAAGTGAAAGACCTGTTTGAGAAAAACTTCAAGTCTCTGAAGAAAGAAATTGAAGAAGATCTCAGAAGATGGAAAGATCTCCCGTGCTCATGGATTGGTAGGATTAACATTGTGAAAATGGCCATCCTGCCAAAAGCAATCTACAGATTCAATGCAATTCCCATCAAAATACCAACTCAATTCTTTACAGACCTTGAAAAAAAGATTCTCAGCTTCATATGGAGAAACAAAAAACCCAGAATCTCCAAAACAATCCTGTACAACAACAGATCATCTGGAGGTATCTCCATCCCCAATCTCAAGTTGTACTACAAAGCAATAGTAATAAAAACTTTTTTTTTTTTTAATGGAAATTCATGGTTTAGCAATGTCTGTGTAACAAAGAACTTAGAAATCTCTTCATTTTATTATCCAGAGACAAGGCCTAATTGCAATTTCTAAGTTAACTATTCACCATAACTAAGAGAAGGGTATTTTTAAAAAGAGAAGTTAGTAAACATACATTCTTCAGGGACCTGAAGGTCTGTTGTGAACCCTAGTTTCCTTATCAGTTGCCTTAATTATGGCTCCTGAACGAGAGTCTTTCTCAGACCGGCTTTTCTTTGGAGTTGGTCTCTTTCTACCCAAGATTCCCAGCTCTCTACAATTCTAATCACCCTTGCAGTTCTGGGAAAATGGACTCTCCTTTGAAGATGCTCCTGTCGTGCTTGGCACACTGGCCCTGGTCTGTGTTAGGCGGTACCCTCTCTTGGCCAGAAACATCTCCCAGCAACTCAGGCCACCAACTGTTTTCTTGTAATATCACAAAGACTGTGATATTATAACGAGCTCCAGGCTTCCTCTTCTCTGCTGGCCAGTAGTTACAGCTAGTTTTATACACCCTGGCCATCTATAAGGTAAGCACATTAGGATGTCCTGTTTACTGGTTACTGCATACCTAGTGACAACTGTGTATGGTTGTGTATGTGAGGTGTGTGTGTGTGTGTGTGTGCTTGTGCTGTGTTTTGTGGTATGTAAAGTGTCTGATGTGGAAAGTGTGGTGCACAGGGTTGTATGTTTACAGTGTAGGGTGTGGTAGGTGGTGTTATTTGTGTGGCATGTGTGTGGTGTGTTTATGTGGCCTGTGCGTGTGTGTGAGATGTGGAGCTGGTGGGATCTTTGTTTTCGTGTCAGCTCACACAGTGGCAGCTTCCCTTCATTGTGACCTTTACTGTTTGCTTTACAGGGAAACAGAAGCTTCTGTCTTAGATCCAGTGGCTGCCATCTGTTCTCCTCATTTTATCTCTTGCTTATCACACAAGTTTCTTCACTATTCAAGGATGAAGATCTGGGCAACTTAGACTAAAATTAAGAAGAAAAAAAAACGTAGTTGGGATATAGTTCCATGGCAGAATTCTTGCCTACCATGTGCAAGGTCCTGCTTCAACCCCCAGGACTAAAAAAAAAGAAAAAGATGTAGCCTCTTTATCATTACAAACTTCCTCAGCTCCCTGTCTCTACAATGGTAGTTGAAGAGTAAAGCCCTCCTCCCTTATTTCTCTCTCTCTTCCCTTCTCTCTCTCCCCCTTTCCTTCCCTCTTCCTCTCCCTCCTTGTCCTCCTCTCTCAGTCTCCTCTGGTAGACACGCACTCTACTCTGAGCTACATTTAGGACGCTTTCAGGTGTTTGTGCCCCCCCCCATATAAAATGTCCGAAGAACATTTTCTATGTCCCTGCAGCTCAACACAGAAGCTGTGTTTTAGAATGACAACGGTGTGGGGAGAGAAGTATTCCTAATGCCTCCACAGAATCCCTCGCCTGTTTTCATGACCTCAACTTTAAACTGGCCTGTAGGCATATTTTAAGCACACGGGCTTTTGATATTGAGCACAAACCTCTACCGTGTGCACATAGGGAAGGAGCTGTGATCAGGAAAACCGTGTGATGTAGGGCTCTTCCCAGCCAGGCTGTTTCAGAAGAGGGGGCGATAGGAGGGAGACCATGGCTGTTTTCCTTCACCTGCTTCAGAGGAAATGCATAGGGCGTGGAGGGGAGCCTCTTTGTCAGCATGGGAGAGGGATGCTGCTTTTACTGTTTTCTTTGGGGTGCAGCAGAATAAAAAAAAAGTGTGTTGTCATGGCTGCTGATTTCAAGCAGCCTGAGCAGCAGCCCAGCATCCGGCCTTCAGCCTGGCTGGAGCTCAACAGGGCACACCCTGCTCTCACATTTGGAGGAAATGAAACTGTAGAGCAGTAAGTTTCATATTCCTGAAACGTATGTTACAGCAATACTTTTTTTTTTCCTCACATGGTCACTACATGCTGGCTGCAAAGGCAAGACTGGATGAAAAGGGTGACTAAACTTTGCAAGTTTCTCTCTTTGGTTAGATATAACTTTTGACATGTTTTATAGGACAGAAGTTTGTCGTTGGTTATTTTGTTCTACATCGTTCTGCACGCTTGGATTCTTGGTTGTCCCCAGTCAGAATATTCTGCACGTTCACCCGCCAGGCTGTCTACAGTAAGCACTAGCCCCAGCTAACAGTACAGGTATAAAAGAAACGATGCTTCGCTTTCCTTCTTGAATATTTAATAAGAAATAACATACACATTTGAAAAAGTATGCATTTTAAAAGATATGATTCAGTATTCAGAATTAGGATATTTTTGTTTTGTTTTAAAGACGGCATCTCATAGAGCTTGGGATGGGATGTATATTCAAAATGTTGCTGGGGCTGCCTTCAAAGCTCTGACTCTCCTGCTTCAGTTGCTGGGCTTGCAATTGACTTTAGACGTTAGCTTTTAAAGCTTAAAGCTGTTAAGGATAGTAAATAAGCCTTTAAGATTAGAAATTGGGGATGGAGAGCTGGCTCAGTGGTTAAGAGCACTAGTAGCTCTTCCAGAGGATCCGGGTTCAATTCCCAGTGCCCACATGGCAGCTCACAACTGTCTACAACTCCAGTTTGAAGGAATCTGACTCCCTCACACTGACATACAAGCAGGCAAAACAACAATTCATATAAAATAAATGCAATATTAAATAAACAAAAATAAATAAATAAATAAATAGATAGATAAATAAATAAGTAAGTAAATAAATAAATAAATAAATAAAGATTGGAAACTTACCAAAGCTTTTCTGGAAACTTCTTTTTGTATTAGAAACTTGAGGTGTGTGTTCTTGGAGCTATTTGGTCTGGAATGTGGCAGAATCACACTCTTTCAGTCAACAGGAAGCAGGACAGAGCTGGTCCTTTTGCAGTTTTCCTGAAAATGTATTTGTAGAGCATATATTACCTCAAACAAACAAAAACATCTGCAGTGTTAACATCACAGCAAATTAAAACGCAACCAGATGGATTGTGGTCTAGGAATTGTTTAGGGTGTATTTTTCCCCTTTAATTTTCTACCCCAAGCATTTTAAAACATACACTTTATGGAATGGTGAAAGGAATATTCTTTCCCTACATGGCATCTTTTCCCAGGCTTAAACCATTTTAATTAGATAAACACCTAAAAGCATGCTGTTTGCAAGCTTGCCTTTCTTCTCTCCCACTCAGTTCCTGTGCTGTAGTTTAACTCTTCAGCTGGTTACCCCGCCTTTTGGGTCCAAGCCCAACCCCCCACCTCTGGTCTCTCTTGAACTTGAGGAAAAGCTCAGGAGCTCAGTTTCCGTCTTGTAGTTTTCAGTCTTTTCAGAGATTTCTGTAAATCTCCTGGAGGGACTGGGTTACAAACACTAGTCACATCCCACCAATATTCTGTTCACTCTCCTCACTGGCTTCCGTCTGACTGACAGTGCAAAGCCATACATGAAAAGGCGTGCTGCTACCTCTCTGCTCTTACACTGCTTTTTCATCTCTCTGAATCAGATCTCGCTGCTTGGCCGCCGTCTTGTTGCTCCTTGCTGCAGATGGTGCAAGCTCCTGTTTGGGGTTGTTCATCTCTCTGGAATCCTCTTGGTTCTTGGTTCTGAATTTTCTTGAGGTTTTTTTTTTTTGTTTTTTTTTTTTTAATCAAATATTGCCTTCTTATGGGGCACTGCTTAGCGGCCTTATTGGCCCCATTTACCAGCATTTCTTATTCCTTTTCTGGATTTATTTTTTATTTATTAAGAACTTATCACAAACAAATATTTCATACACTTTAACTTACTCATCTTGTTTAATTTGACTCACTCATTATTTTATTACTACACGAGACTGAGTTTTTGTGCTCACTACCTACAGTGTCATATCATATGCTGGCTTCTTAATAAAACTTGCTGAATAAACAGAATACATTCTCACAATGAAAATTTACATTTCTGAAAGCTTTCGAGCTATCAGTGTTTGTGGGTAGCTCATCTTACTAGGTACTTGGCTAGGACGGGAGACAGCAATCTGGGGAATCTCTTTAGTGCTCCGCTCATTAGGCTAGAACAACCTCCAGATTCTATGAACTGGTCACACAAAAAGAAAGTTTTAGAAAACGGCAAGGTGATGAATCAGCAGATTTTTTTCTTCCCTGAAGTCCTTACAAGCGTCTAGTTTCACAACATACTTTCTCAGCTTCCTGTTGGGGCACTCAGGCCCAGAGGAGGCCACTTCTCCTACATGGTAGCCCTGGATGAGGCTTCTTGGTGTTCCAGACCTCAGTGCCCACTGCAGAAGCTGAATCCTTGCCAGGGACTTGCCCCATTCTATCGGCTCCCTTGGTCAGGGCCAGAGGCAGTGTCGGATTCCAGTCCGGGGCACTCAGTTAAATATTTAACCGGCCACTCACCCTCTGTTTATCTAGAAGGCTGGGGACAGATCCCCTCTTTGGATGTAGCAAAAGGGGGAAACAGAAATTCCAGCAAGACTCAGTATTCTAGAAAACACTGTACATCAGGAATTTCCTCTGCGGCCCATTTCCTTCTGCCAGGCTGTGACTGCTGCCAAAAACATCAGAGCTGTAATCGCTCATTCAAAACAAGAGGCTGCCGAAGGGATAGACAGACATATTCTCAGATAGAAAACACCTCGACTTCCTAAATTTCAAACTTGTTAAGTGGAACATCTTGTCTCAATATGACATTCTAAACTCTTTGAAAATTCCCTTAGAAATGCCAATATGTCAAAAATTCCCCAACCTACTTCCAACATGCCAGCAGTGTGGAGCATGATTCAAATCTATGATATTCAGCAAAGCTTTTAAAATCCTTAGCATTTTATGAATTTTAAGCGCATCTGGATGGGTAGCGTTGGAATGAAGCAAATCAAATTGCCATCATTGGCTTGAACAACCTTTGAGAATGTCAAACTGCAAATCTTTGCTGCTTAGAACTCCTCGGCTTTCCTGGTTTGTTTTTGTTGTTTTTGTTTTTACTCACAGATTTTATTTATATTTGTCTACAGTATCGTTTCTTTATGAAATGGACTACTACAGCTCAATTAAACCAAATCAAATCATAATCATCTGAACTGTTTGCAAATGCCTATTAGCTAAATTTATAATCTTGTATTTGCCTAGTACAGCCCAAGTTTTAAATACAGAAAGCACAAGAGCAAACCAAGGCTTGCCTGTTTTAAAGTGTGAATATAAAACATATTGGTAACCATGTTAATTATTCAAAGCAGCTGCAGGATGCCAAGACTCCAGAGAACATGGCAGTTTTTACTCTCTGATGCTGAGCTAGAAAGACAAACATACCTTTACCTCAGGGGTCCTAGACAGTGTGCCCTTGATCTCCAAGCCCTCAGGAGGGCTGTTTAAACAGAAAGGTCCCAGTTGTAGCTCAGCCCCACAGGGCTACACACTCTCTGATGGTCCAGTACAGTGAGACTCAACACAAGCAATACAGTTTTGTTTTCCTGAAGAACACACTGACACAACGCCATAAACCAAACCAAACCAAAATAACAGCAACAACATAAACCCCTCCACTTCTTCCACTCTATTGCTGCTTGAAACAGATGAGAAGGGGAAAATTAAATGGCTATAGTTCTGGACAGTATTGCCTTTCATGAAGTGCAAGCAACACTTTTAAAGGCATCTAACATTATGTAGAATAGGAAGGTAGAAATTGACATAATCACAATAGATCCTAGGTACCACTATAAGTATTTGTTGTTGTTTAGTTTCCTGACTCCCTTTTTGTTATTTTTCTATTTTTCTTTTCCTGCCTATTTGGCATAATGAGAAGCCCACTCATTACTCTGACCAGCTCTCACCATTTTTTACCCGAGCATTTCTGTCCAGGAAGGCATTTGCAAGTTAGCATCAGTTAAATAGACTCCTACAAATATAATGTGCTGCTGTTACTAATCAACTTAATATTTTATACATAATGCTTCATTTACAAGTGTGTATTGATACAAAAACACAGCTACAACTTTAAGAAATAGCTTTTTCATTATAGCCATAAAAATGAGGAAAGATTTTATAGTTCAGAAACTTACCAGAATTTTCCTGAAAACTTTATTATTCTAGAAACTTGAAACCAGTAACATTAAAGCTGTGTTCTTTTCTTCAGATACAGTTCTAAGCATCCTGTTCAAAGACGAAAAACTTGGGCGGTTAAAGCTGCAGAGTTCTCTGCCTTCAGTGCTTTGCCTCTGTGGACTCTGGCGCAGAATCAGAATGAGGAAGTAGTTTCAGTTTTGTTTTAGTTCATAATCTTGAAGAGAGAGTTCTTTATAGGGCTGGTGACTGTAGCCCAGTGGCAGAGCATGTGTTTAGTATGCATAGGGTTCTGTGTTTGGTCCCCAGGGCTATAGGAGACAAACAAACACATTATAGAAAACTATCAGTAAATGTGAACTGTGGATAACAATTTTTTTCACCAGACATATTTTTAGGTCACAACAGCTAAGAAATTGGAGAGAATACAAACACAAAGAAATCAGAAATATCAGTCTTGGAGTGAGCTTAGCATCTGTTATTGGTTGATTTATATCTCCCCCAAATTCATAAACCAAAGTTCTAACTCTAAGATTATGGCTGTTTTTGGATATAAAGTTTACTTGGACAACAAATGGAGTTAAGATTATTGATAACCTTTAAGGGCTTGACTGAAGAACAAAACTGTGTCTGAAACAAAGCAGAAGCCTTTTACTGTGGGCTATAATTCAGGACATTGTGTGTGTGTGTGTGTGTGTGTGTGTGTGTGCGTGTGCGCTTGCATAGGTACAAGAATGTTTTTGTAGATATATCCATTGGGAAGGGAAGTATTTTTTCATTAATTAATTTATTCACTTTATGGTCTTTTTGCAGCCCTCTCCTCCCCTCCCAGTCCCACCCTTACACCATTCTTCTCCTTCTCCTCAGAGAAGAGGAGCCCCCTATTGATACCAACCTACCCTAGCACCCCAAGTTGCAGCAGGACTAAGTGCATCCTCTCCCACTGAGGCCAGACAAAGCAGCCCAGCTAAGCGAAAGGGATCCAAAGGCAGCTAACAAAGTATCCCCTCTTCCCCCCTCCAATTGTTAGGGGACCCACAGAAAGACCAAGTTGCACATCTGTTACATATGTGTAAGGGGTCTTAGTTTCAGCCCATGCATGCTCCTTGGTTGGTGGTTCAGTCTGTGAGCTCCCATGGGCTCAGGTTAGTTTATTCTGTAGTTCTTGTGATGCCCTTGACCTCTCCAGCTCTGGAAGGGAGGGCTTTTGAAGGAGGGAGGTAATGTGATACTAGCGATAAAAGTGATGTGACAGGAGAAATGGGAAAAGAGAGACTCCTTAAGGAGGAGAAGGAGGGAGGTAAATACAGAAGAAGGTGGGACTAAAGGGGAGTAGCAGGATACAGTTGATCTGATAGAGAAAGTAGAAAAAGAGAGGGCTCTTTAGGGAAGGGGCAGGGAAGTGAATATAGAAGATATGGGTAAAATACCAAAAATAATAATATCTGAAAAATTCATCAGGAATCATACCATTACAGGGCTTTTGGACAAGTTACACCGCTGTGGCTCGGCCAATCACAGCACACATAGCTCATCTCATAGGTTCAGGCTGGTTCTATTCTACCAGCACCTGCTGCCCTCGGTTGCTGGCTCACAGCCCTGGATTCTTCAGTATCTTGAGATCTCCACTGCAACCAAGGGCTTACTTTGATCAGCAACTTCTGGCCATTCTACAGGGGCATACCTTCCTGAAGGATGTGAAAATAACCACAGAAGAGTTCAGAGAATAATTGGAATTTGTTAAAAATTCTCAAAAAACAAAACAAAACAAAACAAAACAAAAAAAAAAACAACTCAGATCAAGCAAGTTCTTGCTAGTTAAATCTAGGAAACTTAGAACACCAAAACTAACTGTAGAAATACATCATGACCCATCGAATGACAGAGAAACCATGGAAATATAAACAAATCGGTAAATGAAAAGATTTGTGAGGATATCATACATATTTCATAACATTTCAAATTTCATCTTCACAAAATAGTTTCAAAAGACAAAAAGGAGAGAAGCCAGTGTCACTGCGGGGAAGCCTAGCGAGCAGACCCTTTTCACTAGAACTCACAGCTCATCCAGATGAATGTCATCTGCAATGGGACAAATGATAATCACGTACCATCGAGTTTGGTTCTCTGCTTAGTCAGCCTCCATGTAAGGCATCTCTTCACGTACTGACAGACGTTAGGAACTCTGTCATTCCTTCTCAGCCATGAGAGACTTATACTCTGTCCATTTCTACCCTTTGATTTTTGGACCTGGAATCTTGGCTAGTAGAGTGACGTTACCATATCTTAGACACGGATTCAGAGCACATATGACCTTCTGGAGGATCTTGACACTTCGTGAGTGCTATACCCAAGTCCTAAAAGGTTACTGCTTGTCTATCAACCTTGTCACTTCTGAATGTGGGGAGATTAGACCATGGTTTCTGTGAACAGGACCTACTGCTGAGCTTTCTCTCCCTTGCTCCCCGTATGAAATGAGTTTCTTGCCACATTACCTTTTCCTGTTAAAAAGGAATGACTTTCAGGTGAGCACCAATGACACTACAAAGTACAATTTCACCAATATTCAATTTTGTGAGATCGATGAGTTCACTGGGCCTGCTTACACACTATTATCGGCGAGGCATTACTTCCAGGAGTGTGTGTGGCCCCAAACAGCTGCATCACTGCCACACGCCACTTCATCATGAATGGAGCTCTCACGGAAGCTGCATGAAGTCCTAATTTCAATAAAGCTTCCATTTCTTCTTTTTATGAGGTCCAGTTGGATCCAACACAACTCGACCATCACATCACAGAAAGGAAAGGTGGGTTGCAATCAAGCAGCTACTGATAGATAAGGGACACAGAACAGACCCCAGAGCTGAACTGTAACCCCTGAGCCAAAATCACAAAAGCCACAAAAGCCACAATCATCTTTGCCAAGTTACAGTTACATTTTCAGCCAGTCAAGATTCGGGGATAGGGGACATTAAGAGATGTTTCTTTATGGTACACTTATCCTGGTCTCATTGGTTGGTTTGCTCAGCTGTGGTGGAGAAACTTGCCCAGCATTCATGTCTCATTGCCAACCAGGATGCCACTCATCCAGAGAGGTCTTGGGAACTTAAACTTTGCTTGACTCCTATTCAAAATGGTAGTCTTATTCAAAATGGCTTCAGTTTAGTTTCTTCTTGCTTTATGTAGTCTTTCACCTCTCAAGAGCACCTCAAGCAGGGGAAGCAGGAACTCCTGACTTCCTTCAGGAGTGTCAGTCGCTTCATTTCCATTACCTTAGGCTTGATAGCACCATAGCACTGTATTGTGCTTTGGGTTTACTTTTTGTTTGTTTGTTTATTGCCATGGCTACCAGGAGGAAAGCCCAAGATGGCACCAAGTTATGTCTGGGATAAAAAAGCCACCAAAAGACATTCTACCCATTTCCTCTTTGTCATGGTTTCCTACACCAGGCCATTATTAAGGCTCCCATCTGCATGCTGAATCATGGATGCTTCCCTTCTATGAAAGGTCACATGGGGGATTTTATTTTCTCATTTTATCCCATTGTCATTTTTATGAGCATTGTATCCCTCCCATGGGCTCCCCATTTTTAAATGGGGAGTGGCTCTAAGCCACTCCACGTTGCCTGAAGCACTGTTTTGTTTGTTTGTTTGTTTGTTTGTTTGTTTTTTTAGGATGTGCATTTCCCAGGAGACTCCATCTTCCAAGCAGCTTTTTACTCCATTTTGAAGGAAAAGGGAGACTGGGAGCCCTGTGTGGATCCAGAATGACATCATCTTTCAGGTCTCACTCATTCAGCACACATTGGCATTACTTTTTTCTAGGAGTGGAAAGAGAGCCAGTCTGTATATTTACTGGGTAAATTGAGACTGTAGGAGCACATGGATATTCTAAAATCATATCAGAGAAATCAGGTCCAAGAACTAACAAACATGCCAGACCAAGGAAAGGGTATAACTCTGCACTGGTTGGTTTTGTGTATCAACTTGACACAAGCCAGAGTCATCAGAGAGAAGGAGCCTCAGTTGAGAAATCATCTCTATGAGATCCATAGGGGAGGGAAGGTATCTTATCTCAGGGTGGGGCATCTGTGCTGGGTAGCCCACCAACCTTGTGGTATAACATTCAAGACACAGAAAAATACCTAACATTCCTGAGGTCTGTAGATAACTTCCTCAATGTTAGTTATATTAGTCAGCCAATCACTTTGTAACAAACTTGCCATGGCTAAATGTCACTCAATCCTGCTAAGCTGGAAATTCCCGGTCCTTGCTCAAACCTCAATAAAACCCTACCTTGCAGCTGCTTAGGGCTCTCCCCTCTGATCCACTGCATTGGTGGCCATCAAGAGCCCAAGCTTAAACCCGAATAAAGCTCTTTGCTCTTGCATACATGGGCCAGCTCCTGGTGGTCTTTGGGGACCTTAAGATGTGGACATAACAGTGCCATCCCTGGGCTAGTGGTTCTGAGATCTGTAAGAAAGTAGGCTGAGCAAGCCATGTGAAGCACTAACTAGCCTCCTTAGCCTCTGTGGCCTCTGCATTAGCGCCTGTCTCCTGCCCTGTTTGAGTTTCTGTCTTGAGTTCCTTTAGTGATGAAAAAGAATTTGGAAGTATAAGGCAAATAGAGCCTTTGTAAGGATTGTGCACTAAAGATACACAGTGGGTTCACAAATCATGCCATCTGACTGGTTACACATGGGAGGTTTATTAAGGGTAGGGGGAGGGGTCATAGAGACTGTCTCTGGGCAGGGTGGGAGGGGGAGGTGGTGCGAATTCTCTTAGAAGTTGACCCAGAGCATGTGCTGGTGGTTTCAGGTGGTCCTTGGGTGGTCCGTAGGTGGCCTCACAGATGCCTGATATCTAGTTCATCAGGTCCCTTAGGGCTGGCCATAGAGATGGCTGCTTATGGATCCCAATATTCCTCCCTTTTTGTTTTATTAAAAAGTGAAGAGCTAGGAAGGAGGTGATGGTGGGGAGGGCATAGGGGTTACCTTTGCTCTTCAAGCTACTTCCTGCTGATTAGGGGTATAGCTGGTCCCCACCATCAGGGTTGATTGGAAGGTCATTGTCATCTGGTTCTGTGGGCAGAGGTTGATAATCCTGTAAGAGTAACTGATTAATGGTTTGGTTAGAGAATTTTTGCATTTGTTGTTGGA